TAGATAGATAGATAGATAGATAGATAGATAGATAGATAGATAGATAGATAGATAGATAAAGATTACATATTAATAGGGAAAAACATTAAACAATCTGAGAAAAAAAAGGGATTTGTAAATTCAAAATTGGATCTGTTTTTTTTTTCAGGCTTACCTACTCTTTGTAAACTGGCAGGTGAAATATTTTTAAATAATCACAATTTCTGTTTTATATATCAACATTTTTTAACATTAGAACACTTTTTAGGGTCACAAAGAACATATAAAGTAAAAATTAGATTGAAATAGTTATATTTTCTGATCTGAGAAACTTTATCCGCACAAACATGCCCATTGCTGCATTGATGATCTACAAAGTACCGTTTGTACAGCATCAGATGTAATATGTTCTCATTCCTTAGCTTTAGCTTTTTATTTTTTCCTTTCCTTGAGGCCAATATTGTTATTGAGTCCTCAGTATATGACAAAAACTGAAGACTTATCACTTTGCTTATTACCCGGGTCTTAAGCTTATTGATATCTATGACTCCACATAACCCCAGTATAAAGTTTGTATTCTAAATTATAAACATCGTTTTCATTCAAAACTTATTTTGCAATCATTATCTGCTGTCACAAATACTTTGTCAGTATTGATATATTTTGGTTTCAGGGAAAAAAAGGGCTCAATAGGTTTTTTTCTGTTAGAAAACTATTCCAACACGGTGTATGTATCATCTGATTGTGAATCATTTAGATTTCATACTTTTAAAACATGTTGATAAAGAATGAATTGCCCTTAAAATATTAAATGATGTACTTGAGGTCTTGGATTTTGTTGACTTCATCCTGTATTAAGCTATTTTGAACTGCTTCTATTCATTTGGCTAGGTTTAGGGATTTCAACAACTTTTTGAAGTTTCTAGGAAACCATTAAGGTTTTAAAGAAGCTGTCCATCATTAATAATGTCGAAACAAAACCAAGACTGACCGTAAGGAACCTTTACCATAGAAAAAGAGTTTCATTTTATTCTTTCCGCTCACTTTTAATAAGCCATTGTTTGAATACATGAGGATTTCCTTATTCATTGTCTTTCTCTTTCTCTTTTTACTTTTCCAGGTAGGGCAGTTCAGTCAATTTCTCCATGAATGTACGTCACAATGATGATGACAGACCAGATTCCACTGGACTTGGCTCTGCCCCCCCTCCTGAATGGAGAGCTCCCTCTCATGCCTCACATGGTTAACGGTGACGCAGCACAACAGGTATATACATACCTTGTTTACACATGCATACACCTGTCTTCTGAAATCTCGCAGTCATGCTTGTTGTTCAAACCCTGGACCAAAACCACCTTCTTCTCTCAGCTGTGTTGTGGTATATACATTGTGATTCACACAAGAGTTTACAACAAATTGTCTCAAAGGCTTTTCCCTTTGTTGTCGTTCCGTAACAAGTCTTGTGTTTTGATCCTTCAGGTGTTGAAAATCTGCCAAGATCTGGGTGTACAAGAAATAGTCATTAGGTTGGGCAGCTGGATGGATGAGGGTATATAGGGTAATGCTGTGCCAAATCAAGCCTTTTTCACAGGTGATCATTTAAATCAGTGTTTCCCAACCTTTTTTTGTCATGTGTTCCCTTTCGACATTTTTTCTTAGTCAAAAGTATTGATGACTGTCCAAAAGTGGAATGTACAATAACTGATTATAAATAAATTAAGACTATTTTAGTTCATCTTTTAATTTGAGCATTCATTTGTCATTATTTTATGCTTTCCATCTCAAATAGAAAAACAAGATAAATATGTTAGTAAGGAATCGAAATAAATACAAAATAAATATCATACCATAGACCCGTATCTATAAAGCTGGAGCTCCTTGAAAATCACATTTAAACTTGATGAATTGGAAACAAAATACAGAACAGAAATTATAGTCAGACTGACTATAACTTACTTTTTGGTTGATAAAAACTTGTTTAATTTTTCAGTTGGGTCCTTACAAAACAAAAGAGATCCAAGCCCTATTTTATTTTATAACCTAAGAAATAAATATTTTCATGTACCGCTTGCAATGCACTTGCGGACCACTAGGGGCATGTGTACCTCCAGTTGGGAAATACTGATTTTGATCACTGGTATATTGAGCAGCATGTAGAAGAAAGAGGAACATCTCTAATAAACAGAAACATTTTCTAGTTTTCAAATGAGCAGAGGAATTTCTACCAAATTTGCACTATTATCTCCTGTGGTTCATCTAGATATTTCTCTGTAGGTTTGGTGGAAGAATACCAGCCACAAGTCTGTAGCACGTACTGTACAAATTTCCATCCTTTCATGCCACATTTTCACTTAGCATTTGGTTGAAATGCTTTAGAAAAGAAGCTACCTCTAAACAGTTTCTACCGATCTTAGTGCAAAGCCAGCATGATCCTCTTTTTTCTTTTTAGACACAACCTCTTACCTGAGACTTGAGCAGGCGAGCATTTAACATCATCACATCTTAAAAAAGCTTAAAAAAGTAGTGATTTAGCGATTTTGTGTCATCTCTGTTTTGGCTGCGACTCGTTAAAGTTTTGCGGGGGGTTTTGGCTGTAGTATACTGCAGTTAGGATGCTTGTTTTATTGCAACACCCTGCAGTTTAAACTTGGTTCCCAGTGTGGATTCATGGATCTAGACCAATGATTATACAGATTTGACTCAGCATTTATGTGTCCACATGTGTGTATATTTGTTTGTTTCTCTGTCTGTTGTACATTGTGCTTGTTTATGTTTGTGTCTTCTACCCTTTTAGCATCCGTGTGGGCGCTACAGCGTCTGTGTTGAGTCTGAATAGATACTTATGTACTTGTCTGTCAGTTCTCTTAGAATGTGTTTGTCCAGCCTACATTTTTCAAACTGCAGCTGCTGGTACTTTGTTACATTGAAGTTTAGAGAGGGAAGGTTTAAGGTAAAACCAATGGTAAAGATGACTTTGAGGTTTTCTTAATTTTTATTCCCTTCTTGAAAAGTAGAGAGAGGTTTGCAGCTGGTCTTTATCTGTCTTAAGTGTCTACCTGCCTTAAGTGTTTGACCTCTAATTTAAGAGAGTAGAAAAATGGCAATCCAATGTTTTTCTGTTTGGCATCCTGGCATCAGAGATCAGAGGCAGAAGCAATTTCACAATGAAAAGTTGCCATGTATCAGGTTTTCAGAAACATTACAGAACAGAAATGATTGCATTGTTAACTGGTGTTAGCATCTGTATTTTTCAGCCAGCACTATGCTAAAGACAATGCACAAAGGAGAGTAATAGATTGTTCATACTGAATATGAATGAGGTGCATGGAGTGAGTGATGTTCTCCCTATATAGAGGTGTGTTTTGGAGTAGAGTGATGTAAAGCATCCATCCATCCATCTTCGGACACGCTTTAGTCCCAAGTGGGGTTGTAAGAGGTGCTGGTGCCTATCTCCAACTGTCTACGGGCAAGAGGCGGGGTACACCCTGGACAGGTCGCCAGTCCATTGCAGGGCAACACAGAGAGACAAACAACCATTCACTCACACCTAAGGAGAATTTAGAGAAGCCAATTAAACTCATGTTTTTGGACTGTGGGAGAAAGCCGGTGTACCGGGAGAGAACCCACACACGCTCAGGGAGAACATGCAAACTCCATGCAGAAAGATCCTGGGCTAGGAATCAAACCCACAAACTTCTTGCTGCAAGGCAGCAATGCTACCTACTGTGCCACTGAGCAGCCCATGATGTAAAGCAATCAGAGGCAAATCATTTCTAACAATGTGACCAGTCGGATTATGAGGAAAGGATTAAAGCCAAATTCCTGATGGGCGAGAAAAAAATTCTGCCTAAAAAGTAGAATTTTTCCTGTCAATTTTAGTCCAATCAACTAATAACGGACTGCATGTCATTGTGAGGTAGGGTGAAGAAATGCTGCGTACAGGAAGCTTTTTTCAATCAAAATGAAAGATTAAAATTTATATTGACATTAGGGCTGAAACAATTAATCAAATTAATCGTGATTAACTGATTATTCAAATATTCGTCAACTAATTGACTCTGGAGTAAAGAGACTGTAAAATATGCCTTTAGCTGACAAAGCAACCCACTTAGAGTATTAATTATTGCAAAATTGTAAAAAAAAAAAAAAAAAATGATAAACATTTTGCATTTAAGATAAAAAAAACATTTCCTTCTGTCAATATTCTGTATCTTGAACTCCTCTAATGGAAAAGTTTTGGTTTGACCTGGTTTAATTTCAGAAAAAGTCTTCTTACAGGAACCTTTTGCTATCCGATTATTAATCAATTAATTGAAAAAATAATCCACAGATTAATCGATTGTAAAATAATCATTAGTTTCAGCCTTAGTTGACATAACATAAAAGGTAAGGAAAGCTCTTTAGAGCAGGGTTCCTCAGTTCCAGTCATCAAGGTCCAGTGTCCTGCCCCTTTTACATGTATTTCTGCTTCAATATACCTGAGTCAATAAATCAGGTCATTAGCAGGACTACAGTAAACTTGACATTTGATTCAGGCGTACTGAAGCAGAGACATCTCTAAGACTGGACTTCCAGGACCGGAATTAAGAAACTAGTTTAGGTGTGTGTCAGTGGCTTTTAAAAAAGGCTGTGTTAATTTAGTGCTTAGAAGGACTGTTAGATCGTTCACCCTCCATTTAATCTTGTAGCTACAGAGTGAGGCTCAGGCTACTGCCTCTTCCCAGCTATAGTGCTCTATGTCCAGCCTTTTGCCCTCCACCCTTGCTGTTCCTTTCTGAGCTTCAGAGCGGTTTTACTTCTGTTGTCCAGGTGATTAAAGTACTGCAGGAAGCGACTGATCCAACAGTAGCTCCTGGAATCCCTGCATTGGGAGCATCTGGGATGCTGTCCCTATTGTTTGGTTTTCTACATTAAATACAGCATGGGGACTCACTCTGTAAAATGCGGGTCTGTCAAGATGAGTTAAACAGACAACAGAGAAGCAGATACAAGCCCCTCCCTCCTTCACCTGAACTGGTTAAGTAAGCTCAGCATTGTCCCTGTTGTCCATGCAACAGGTTGGCAAAATGTTAAGTGAGCAACAGCACACGAATCACACTGTAAATTAGCCGTAATTGTATTTAGTGTGAACACACAGTTAGACCCACTTATGTATTCCTTTTTCATGTATATACTTTGAGAGCTCAAAAGGATGTAACAGATCAATTTTGCTGCAATCTTCTCAGCCTTTCTGTTACCTGTTGAGGCACTTCCTTCAATTTGAATAGTGGGAAAAGAAAAGGCTAACTTTTCTCTTTATAAAATTCAGTTTCTTTTTCAATAGCTTTATATATATCTGCGGTTCATTTAAGTAAAACTTTTAAAGACCTCATCTAAAAATGGCTAACTTTGCTTCCTATTTCTTCAACTACAACTTAAACACTAAAAAATGTTTTGTAGGCATCATCACCCTTGATTATGATGCTTTACCCTTCTGGAGATATAAATTGTTTTGATGTGCCAACTCTCCGGTCACTGTTCAGATCAAACAACATCAAATTCTTTGATACCTGTCATTAGCCATTCTCCCACAGCGTCGGTCAGATACCATTTTATGCTCAAATAAAAGAACACTAATAATAGCAGATTTATTTACTCAATTACAGCAGCCACATAGATACCTGCTGTTAGAGGGGTCTGGTTACTTTTAGTAATGCTGCATTCATGGATCAGACTGTTTTCATCTTGCCAGTTTCAAGTCAGCAGATCTAGTTGAAAATATTCTAATTCAAGTCAACACCAGATTTCTCTATGCATCTCTATTTTAAAACCACATCATATAACCTGCCTTCAAAGTTTAAATTCTATGTAATCGATTTCTTCTTTTCATCTAAAATAAGCAAGTTTTTATTTAAATAATTACAAATTTCATTTAAGAAATGTTAATATGGAAAGCCATAAACATTCAATCCAAATTCCTGGTTTTGTTGCAGTTATTTTGAAAATACTTATTATGGTGGTGACTATAATTTGCAATCTCTTGAAGTCAATTAGTTGAAAGGACCCATCAAATGAGGCATTATTGTTACTAAAGTCTATCAGAAATCTCTCACAAATCAGCTAAATCTGTCTGTCTGTCTGTCTCTATTTGTCTCTCTATCTCTAAATCTTATGTTCTGCCCATTTGCAAATGGATATTTGCTAAAATCTGGGACAAACAAAAAAATTGGTTTTTCTTTTGTCACTTTGAATTGGTTTTGAAAAGGGCTGAAACAGTTCATAAGATTAATCTTGAATAATTGATTATTGAAATAATCGTCAACTAATTTAATAATTGATTCATCGTTAACTGGAGTATAGAGGAATTATACAAAAATTGTAAAAGTATGTAAACATTTTGCACTAAAGATAAAAAAAACATTTTCGTCTGTCATTGTGCTCTAACCAGAACTCCTCAAGTGGAAAAGTGTTGCCTGGTTTCGTTTTGTAAAGAATCTTCTTTAAGGAATCTTTAGCTATGTGATTATTAATCAATTAAGTATAAAAATAATCGACAGATTAATTGATTTGCAAAATAATCGTTAGTTGCAACCCTAGTTTTGAATTAAATCATTGCATTCATTTAGTGGATGCGTTTTCTCTCTCAAAACAAGGTCGGATGAGAGTAGCTGGTTGACAGCATAAAAATGGCTGTATTTGCACCATTGTTAAGCACTTGCTGTGAACTTAGTTTGTGGTTGTGCTATTTGTCACGATCAATGTCAACTGCTGGCATATGATCATGTAACATCCACAAGTTTAGGTCAATCCTTTAATGAAAGTAACTCATACTGGCAAAACTTGGCCACCTCTTCTTTCCGGAATCCCAGTGTACCTATGTAGTACCCTGATTCAATCTTTGTACTAAAGCAGCGGATGCCATCGAGGCAAATGTAGCGGTTCTGATGGCTTTTTGTGGTGTTTTCTAAATTGATATATCAAAGAAAGATGTGGCTCTGCTTGTTCTTTCTGCATTTCTTGGAGCCTAATAATGCCTGCTTGGTTTGGTATGGAATCTTTCAGCCTTGCAATTCCTGGTCTCCTGGTCCAGGGAGAACCAGAATCAACCAGTTCCCACCAGGATTTGTTCAGTAAATGCCAGAGCAAACAAAATTTGGTCAGAAGGAATTCTTCACATCGCAGACTTGGTAGAGTACTAGTGCATCTAAAATTTTCACATAACCCCTACGAAATGATGGTTGCTATTTTAACCCCACAGTGGGTGTCTGGCCGAATACTTTTCATCGTTAAGAGTCGTTTCAAATGGATGCAGCTCTTTTTTTTCCCTCTTCCTTTACCAGCTTGTGCTGTGGTCTATCAACATCCATATAATAAAGATGTTTGAGAAGATTTTCTGAAACTCTAAACTTAATATGGTCAAGTTTTTATTTCACCTTTAAGGGTGTTTTTCTTCTTGTATTGTATTGTATGTGTCTGGACCTACACACAAATCTGGTCATATTCCTGATTAGTTTTATTATGTTTCATTGTTATTGGGCTTATCATGAGTGGAAATATTAGAAACTGCTGGTGTCATTTCAAATATTAAAGGACTGCTGTCATCATCAAACAACTGATAAGAAAGGTAAAAGAGGCAGTTGTGCGCTGCTTTACCTGCTGTCTGATTGTTCTTTCTTCTTCCCCATTAAGGCTCGAGAACTTTCCATATCCTTTTATTTATTTATTTTTTTTAAATATCATATTAAATTCCTTGCATCATATCGATACACCTGGGCATGCTTCTCTACCAAGCCATTTCCCCATTGCAGGATGCAAACTTCACATTACACTCAAAGCACAAACGCTCCACATGACAGTGCTTAGGACAGTGAAGATACTCGGCACTCTGAAGTCTGCAAAGTAAGATATATAGGTGATCAGTTTTTCTGATGGGAAACAAATGAATGTGGGCGATGATTGATCACATACTTTTTCATGAACATCAGCCGAATATGATCGATGGTCATTTGATCAGCACTCCAATAGTTTTAACTTTTGTGACCATATATCACACCCTATAGGGAGCCACATGGCTCAGTTTTAACCTTTATCTCTTTGCTGATATTTGTCCAATAATGAGAAGGTATGATGTTCTTTTCCACTGTTATGCTGATGATACTCAGATTTATATAACCTGCTCAAAAATAAAATTAAAAACAGTAATAATTCACTGCTACAATGCTTTAAAGATCTCAAGCTTTTAAAGTTATAGGGACAATCTTTTATTTCCTGGTGGATCATCTCAATAAGTTCTCATTTTTAATCATTCTAGTTATGTTTACGTAAGGCTGTCCTACATGCTTTTTCCGTTAGCTTTTACTGTGCATGTGCACTTTAAGGCATATATCTGTGGTGAGCTACGGTTTCAGACAGTCATTGAAGCTCACCTTTCTCACCGTGGTTCTTTGAAAATATTCAAGGGTTGTAAGAGGAAAAGTGTCTACAAAGTGTATTTGAACAAAAGAAAGCCTTAGAAGAGGCAGATTTATCCCGGAATGATTTGCATGGAGATCATTATGGGATTTGCTGTGGCCTCTGTCGCTACCCGACAGAGGCAACTGATATCAAAGATGGCACAGGCACCGCGCAGTGGAGGAGGAGTTAAATGACCAATGGGGAGCAAAAAGCAGTGATCATCTGTCGGAACAGTAAGTTAACTGAGTTCGCTATAAAGTCCACTACATAGTCCCCACTCTATATAGTGATTGAGGAATTTAGGGGTTAGAGCAGATGTTCAGCCACATTAAGCTTGTATGAACTATGAGAACAGCAACTTTTAAAGATAGCCTGCACGAGGAGAAATGGGCTAAACCTGGGTTTAAAGTTGATGCTGATCTTAAGCTTGACAATCAGATTAGAACAATTTTGAAATCATCTTTTTATTATTTAAGTAAACCTGCCAAACAAATTATGTGCTTTGAGGCAGTAATCCATGTGTTTATTACTACTCATTGGATTAGAATAATGTAATTTATGTGGAGTTAGTGGTTCTTTAATTGTCCAGCTTCAGAGGGCACAAAATTTATTGTCTTTTTTATCTGGCATCCAAAAGTATTGGCATATTTCCTCTATTTTAGCTTCACTCCCCTGGCCCTATATTTTTTTCTGGGATTCATTTTAAAGTTGTTTTAAAAGTTTAAAGATCTCCAATGCCTTTGCCAGTTCTTACCTTTTTGAGGTGCTGTGCCATAACATATCCTGTTCACTCAGTGTACCCAAAACAAACCTAAAGCTTATGGGGTGATCATGCTTAAGGTTTGTTTTGTCATCTTTTTCTGCAGCAGAAATGATTTACCACCGCACACTAAGCAGACGACATCACTGTCCATTTTAAAAAAATCTCTTCTCAGAACTCTACTCTTTGCCTTGGGTTTTGACATCATTTGGTATGTTAAATTGTAGTTGGTGCTCATTTTATTTTAGCTTGATTTAGTGGACGGTTAAAAAACGGTTGATGTACTTTTGACTGTAGTTTATGGGTTTTTTCTGTTTGGGAAGAGGTATTTGTCAATTTAATACATTTTATGTATTCTTTACACCACTTTTGTCTTTTTGCCGTTGTAAAGTGCTTTTTAAAAACTGGTCAACTTTTTATAGATAGCATAGGTAAATCCATCTATGGAGTAAAGATGAGTTGCAAAAAAAGGAAAAAGAAATACTGATATGTATTTTGATTTAAAGACATTTATCCGAACAGTCTAAAAGCTTTATGTTATATGCATTTGAAGTTGTCAATATTCGGAAAAAAATGTAGCAGAAACGTGGCTAGACATAATGTAGCTTTTCAGATGAAACATGGTAGGTATACCTAATAGTTTTCTTTGGTATAGTTCTGTTGATTTAGGTTGCAGCTACCCTCACACCTAACAACATGGTTCCTTGAAGGGGTTTTCTCCATTTGTAGGTACCCTGAACTATGCTGGGGTTCCCATAGCAACAGCATCCGCTGCAGCAGGCAGAGCAGGAAGTGTGTATGTGTGTGTGACGGAAAAGAGCATGTTGGTGCTGAGATGGGAGAAGATGCAGAGACTAACAGGAGGAAGGGATGATATGAGGCTTGTACACGGGCGCACCTGTGGCACATAGACAGAGCCGTGCTTTTTGTTTTTATGCATGCATGTCCCTGAATACGAGTGAGTGTCTGCATGCATATGTGCGTAATGGAGGGTCACCTGTTTCATGTCTACAGCCACGTGTACACTCTGAACAATCTGAACACGGAGAATATGACGGTAAGGTGTTTGCATGCTCACTTCAGACTTAATCAGATGAAGTGTCACACAGCAGTTTAAATGGTCTTATTTACTCTGCTTTCATTGGTGTGTGTGTGTGTGCTAACCTGTCTATCGGTTGGACTGAGATTAAAGCTTCTGTATTTGCCTTCACATGATCTCCTCTGTTCTCTTAAAAGATAAAATCTCTTCTTAAACACGTGTTCATCTCAAAGCAGCTTTCTCTACATTAGCTCATGAACATCTCATTGATATGTTTAAGCACATAATTTTATAGTCAGTGTTTCAAATTACCTTAGAGAATTATGTAATGGATGTGTGTATATAAACTCCTCCCCCTAGTACTTTATCTATTTGCTTTTTCTTACATAGTTTTCTTTTCCCTTGTGTTTTGGCACAGGTGATTTTTGTGCAGGTGAACCCAGGGGAGACGTTTACCATCCGGGCAGAGGACGGCTCGCTGCAATGCATCCAGGGTCAGTCTTCACTTATGATATTATATTATCATATTACAGCATCGCCAGGCCACTACTCTCATGTGTGTCTCTGTGACTAAGAATGTTCCATCTGGGTTCATATTGCTTATATTCGATTTGTAAACTGGAAGTGTTTCAAATCTGAATTTTTTTTAAATGTTTTTTTTTTTTTATATACAAAGGTATTTTAACCAGAAAAGAATAAAGAAAAAAAATAATTGCAATATTATGAATCATGTTTTTAAGAATATAGGGCTAAAAATAAAGCTTCAATCGAACAGACAAAACTACTGCATTATTACCTGTAAGCATTATTTCAAGTTATGATCAGGATTGTAAACTCCCTAATAGCCATCAAGTATTTTTAAGACTATACATTTGCTGATAGTAAATCCACTCTGCACAGCCCTAAGAGCCAGATATAAAGCAAAGCATATGAAGAAGATCTGAAGACACATGTACCTATCCTTTTAGAAGTAAATTTTTAGATGTTTTTTTTAGATCCTGTGATCTGAATTTTTTTCACACTGAATGTGCAGAATCCTAAATGATTGGCAGCTGACCCTGCAGTGGGGAGAGATAGAGCAGACCCTCTCTAGAGTCATCTGGAGTCTGTCTGATCACAGAATTATAAGGTTTATTGCAATCAAAAGCAAATTATAGCGTTTTAAGAATGGCACACAACAATTAAAGATGTGTTAAGCTGGCTAAATTCAGTTGGACAGCATGCTTGAGGAAAATATGTGAATGTCTTGCACATGCTAGCTGAGTTAAGCTTCAAATTATAGGCCCAATCTCTTCAGCTCAACAATCCAAGCTGACTCTGAAAGCACTCATGATTTGTGTGAATAATTAAATGATTAATGATTCCTGTATGGGATCAGATCAAGACATCCCTAAATGAAAATAAGGGGACAAAAAAATTGTGAATTGTCAGTCTGGAATACCTGAACTTAAAACTGTTTATCTGGCTATTGAACAAGCAAAAACTCCCAGATATACACCAAATACAGTCGTTTAGAAAATTAGCCAGTAATATAAGGCACTGGTTAGTTACAATGCAAGTTTGCATTTAAAAGACGTTTCCTTTAACTTAGAATAAAAGGGAAAAAAATGATGACAGATGTGGTACAAGCTGCCATAGCTCCACCCTGGCTGCATCTGATGTCAGTAAATGAAAGGCTGGATTTGTGGGCCACTTTAGAAGATGTAAGGAGCTGCCACTAATATGGGATTTCCCCCCGACTCCCCTCGAATTGTCTTACTTCTCAGGATGTCGGACAGTAGCTCTGAAAGGACACTTTTGTCTACTTCATGATCTCTTTCTGCTCTCCCCACCCCGTCTTCTTCCTTTCTTTGGCCTCCAAGCCAAGAAAAAAAACCAAAACATTTTGGCTCAGACAGAGGCTGCCGCCTCTCTTCTAAAACCCACAGCATGCTGCCTTGTAGCAAACAACAGCCTACCTCTTCTCCTCTAACCACTATGTAATTAAATTTTTTTTCTGAAATACGAAGGATTGCCTCAGGTGAACCTATGGGCTGACTTAATGCAAGATAGAGGCAGTACATAGTGGGGTGGATAGATGCAGGGTGTCATAGGCACAAGTGATGAAACAGAATTTTGGGTTTGGGAAATATTATCTGAATTGAAGATTTAAGAATTTCATGATTTGCATTTGGGTTTTAGTGGTTTTTATTTTGCCTGCATGTGTGTGTTTCCCCATGGAAAGGCAAAGCTTGTCTGTGTGTGCTTTTTTGGGAGGTCTGCAGCTCAGTGTTACATTAATGTGGATATTATTGCCCTTAAAGGAGCATACACACATAGAACAAACTCCACTTCTTTGCTTCTGGCCTTCTCTGGAGGAGGTCAGTGGGTTTTACGAGAGGTGGAGAGTGGCGGTGGGTTTTGAAGACAGCCTGTGTCCCCTCTGTGTGATTACTGAGACCTCAGAGCTCAGTGTTTGCACTTGGTTGTGTACTTGTATGTTTGCACTTCAATGTGTTATGTGTGTGCGAGACTTTGCAAAGGGAGGTTGCTTAGACCTCAGGGCACAAGCAAGGACTAGATTGCAGATAAAACAACTTCTGTTTAGCTGTTGCTCTGTGGTGCAACATGCACACAAACACGGATGCTCTCTGCCAAGACTGACCTTGTCTGGAGAGGTCAGGGCCAGAAGACCTTTCTTTCATACTTTTCCAGTTATGTTTCATGATGCCTTCACCTCTTTTGACTTATCCTATACTCTTTCAGTTCAGTTCAGTTGAAGCTAACTGTAATTATATTAATATTTCAGCTAATTCGCATGTTCTGTTTTAATATGGAGTGTCTGTCTAAACACTCTAAGGGTCAGCTTTAACCCACCCCTACCACTGTATCTCCACCATCTTTTGACCACCCGACCCCCTCTCTCTGTCCCGTCCCCCCCTCCCCCACTAAGACCATTCCCCTGAGCTTTCCCACACTCACATCAAAGGAGGAGACTCTGGAGGGTGTGTTAGAGCACCCTGCTCTGGAATTTGAGTGTGTTGCCGTGCGTTTGCTTGCGTGTGTGTTGCCTGTGTTTTTTACTAGGTCGAGTTGACTGGTCTTTGTTAAACTTTTTATGAGGGATGATAGAGGGCTGAAGCACATAAAGAGGTCCCCCACCACTAAGGATGTGACATCATAGTGCTGATGTGGCAGCACATCATCACTGTCTTAGTGTTGTTTTGTTTCGCATCGAAAAATCATAGTTGGCTATTAACAATCTTTAGTTGTTTGTTGATATAGTTCTGGTGTATGATTAAAGACATTAAAGGCCATGTTCCTGACATTGGACAGGTTTTTGCAATCAAGTCATCACTGAATGACCTCTGTGCTGTGGTCCCAACGTCCCTGCATACAGGTCATCCTGCAGGTTGTATTTGGTCAAAGCAAATGTAGAATCAAGGTCTGGCTTCTGTGTTTGCCAGCAGATTTTTGCAGGTGGCTCATATTTTTATTTATTTCTAAAATGTACTCTCCATTTTACATGGACAACAAAATTATCTGAGTGTGACTGGTAAAGGCACTATTTTCTTAAAGGAATAGTACACCCAAAACATGATTAGCCTTCATTTTCTACTCACCCCCATGCTGAACAACACTCTGGAGTACTTTTTTGATATCTCAAATGCATCTGGAGATCTGGGAGGCTTCTTGCTGTCTGCTGACATTCAAATAATGGAGGTCCACAGCGCCCGAGGCAGAAAGGTCCATAAAAGTCCACAAAAAACGTGTCAATATTCCTCCATACTGCTCGTCCAATGTATTCCAAGTGTCCTGAGTGAGTAGCGTCCAGAATTTACTCGAAACGAAGTCATTTAGAATGTTTTTAGAGCATAAACAGTAGTGTATAGGATTTCCTAAAATCGCGCGTATGCGAGTTCACGAGCCTACGGAAACCGCGGCAGACCAAACCAGATGAAAGTGCGCATTCAGCGTCTGCTCTGCCAATAATGCAAGCGTAGAAGAAGAAATGTGCTGTTTACCTGTGCAAAGAAAGAAACAACGAAAGAAAAATGTTTCAGGACTTCAGTGTTGAGGAAGAGCATGAGTTCTTTGCCGAGCTGAATGCACACTTTCGTCTGGTTTGGTCTGCCGCGGTTTCCGTAGACTCGTGAACGTGCTTTTAGGAAATCCTATACACTACTGTTTATGCTCTAAAAACATTCTAAATGACTTCGTTTCGAGTAAATTATGGACGCTACCCACTCAGGACACTTGGAACACATTGGACGAGCAGTATGGAGGAATATTGACACGTTTTTTGTGGACTTTTATGGACCTTTCTGCCTCGGGCGCCATGGACCTCCATTATTTGAATGTCAGCAGACAGCAAGAAGCCTCCCAGATCTCCAGATGCATTTGAGATATCAAAAAAGTACTCCAGAGTGTTGTTCAGCATGGGGGTGAGTAGAAAATGAAGGCTAATCATGTTTTGGGTGTACTATTCCTTTAATGAAGACATATTTCTTTTGTACATGGGCATTAATGTTTTTACTGTTCAAATGGTATGATTTCCATCAGGGCAGCTTTCAAACTTACTGGTTGAAAAAATTTAACTACAAAGGACTGCTTGGATGTAAGGTTTACTTATGATGGGCGCTCACACTGAGCCTGGTTCTGCTGGAGGTTTCTTCCTGTTCAAAAGGAGTTTTTCCTCTCCACTGTCGCTACAAGCATGCTTAGTGTGAGGGATTACATTTGAGTCAATGCAATCAACTGGTTTTCCTTAGATAGAAAACTTTTATTCAATTTGACTGTATAACCTGGTAAACTGTAAAGTGCCTTGTGCACCAATTCACAACATGTGTTGTGAATTGGTGCTATATAAGTAAACTGAATTTAATTTAATTGAACTTGTATACTATATTTCTACCGCCATACATGTTAATGTAAATCCCCTTATTCTCCCACAATGGGGAAATCCACTCTCTGTATTTAACCCATCCCCTTGGGGAGCAGTGGGCTGCCATTGTGTGGCGCCCGTGGGAGCAGTGTGGGGTTAAGGATCTTGCTCAGGAACCCAGAGTGGCAGTCTGCGGGGCTCGAACCACATACTTGCAACCTTTTCAGAGCACAAGCGCACTGCACTAACCACTAGGCCAACACCCCATGTATCCTAATTTGAATACCTTTGATGCCCCTTCTTATGCACACTCACCACCAACTTGTAATGTGGGGTGGTTTGGCTAAATAAACCTAGGCTATTTGTTAAATAGTTGAATATGGTATGACTATTTGACTTCCTCAGCTTTACTAATTAGCTCTCTATGAGTAAAGCGTTACAAAGACATGTTTTCTAAAAGATCAATTTCTGTCAGTTGGTCTTTTTTGTGTCAGATGTATAATGTCTATGTAATAGTGCTTGGGAAGTGGATCGAAGGACTGCTTTTAGGAGGAGGAAAGAAGATCCTCAAATCGTATTTTTGCACGAAAGGAAATTCTTATGAACATCCGTATTTCATTTTATGAACAC